CCCTTTTGCAATAATAAAAAAAAAAAAAAAAAAAAGGAAAGAAGAATCTATGTACAACAGCAATTTGACTGAGAAATCAAAATCAAAATCAAAATCTTTGTACATGCATTAAAAAATTAAACGTTCTGAACTGATTCAGTTGTTGTACTGTTATTTTTGTTGACATCTCCACTGATCTGCAAAATAAATCACAGATTATTTTCCAAATAACAAACTTTCAACTACTCTGACAGCGAACTATAAAGGAACAACGTAGCCGGAACAAAGAACGTATCCGATCAACTACTTAATATAAAAGTCACCTTTATGGCAAGAAATATTCTTGATGATGCCCATTCTCAGAATCTTTCTTTTGTGGCTGAAAAAAAAAGTAATAGAGCGATTCTTTTGCTATGACACAATAAAACAATCCAATGGCTGTTTTCAAATGCTTTTTTGATAAAAAAAAAAAAAAAAACAAAGACCAAGGCACTAAGCTAAACAACATTAATTTGTCAATGAAAGTCACTGTTTCAAGAAACATACCGAACACTCCTGAATTTTTTTGAAGTAATTTTCACGGTGAAATCCATCTGAAAGAGAGGAATTATGAATAAATGCTTGAAATTTCCTGCTTCAGCTAAAATGAACAAAACAGAAGAAGAAACAGTGCAAACTGTTGACCGACATTTGAAAATTCATATTTACCTCCGTTTATTGTACCTTCTGCATACTTTTGGTATGCTTCACCGATCGATGTTCGTCGGCCAAACATTTCTGTAAGCGAGAAGCGGCGTTGTCCTGGATATGAGGCACTAAGACTTTCGGAATCCGATGATTGTACCGACTCGCTTCTTTGCCGAGAAACTGAAAATTTTACTGTTTTTTAAAATGCTTAACTTTACAAGCACGAAACGACATATTCTGATTGTCATGAAAATTGGATTTAGAAGAACGGCTAAGAGGACTAATTCAAGCAAAGAATAAATAATGCATACCGACTGGAATCGGTGTGGTATTTTGTTGTCGTGAAAACATGCTTCTTTTTTCTTTAGCGTTTTTAAATCTGAAATAAGATGTATTTTGTTCTTTACACTCCAAACTGTCTGATAACTTCCATACACCGCAAACGTTCCCAGAAAGCGATGATAATAACAGCAAAGGGCATTAAGTTCAAATAGTAAAAACCTTATCAGTATACTTCAAAAGAAGATCCTTCCGAAGAAAAATAGCTGGAACCTAAGAACTTATTTTATCAAGTGTTAAATATTTATTTAATTAACAACAACGTAATGAATTTAGGTTCCGCAAACACCGTAAACATGAATATATTCACTGGTGTATGCATTTATAGCACATGGCAAGCGCTTTTATAGCAATCGATTCAAACGCCTATGAGCTGAAAAATCAGATGCCCTTCAAAAACCCTGCTTCCATCGCTACTTTAGCGGTAAACAGTATCAATCACGAGAAATAAAAAAAAAAATAAATAAAACAATTTCTTTTTTCTCCGTCAAACATCAAAGCTCAAAAGCTCTTTTTAACCATTATGACCTTTTCGGCAATAATTTCTTTTCTGTTTTGTTTTGATCTCTATTTCTATTTAATTGAAAAAAAAAAAACGTACAATTCACCCTCCCCTTCTTCCCTTCACCCATTGAAAGATACCACGATTTTAGAAAAGAGAGCAAAAGATACTGTTAAAAACAGGAAGTATAGAGAAAAAAATAGATATAAAAGTAATGCTAAAAAATAATCTTTTAATCTGACAATTATTCAAAGGCAACGATCTTATGTAACCAAATTTTCTTTCATTCTCCTTCTTTACGTTTTCTTTTTACATCTTATATTCATCTTCTGTTAGAAAGATAAAGTACTTAATCTAAACATAAAGAATTCTACAATTTAAACCAAATACGACAGTCTCAAAGAGTTGTTTAGTTGTCTCCATTTAAAAACATTGTTAACCAACTTTAGGCTTAGCGGATTAGACCACAGCTTTAAACCGAACTCGACTAACTGAAAGACGTCGATTGTGCCCTTAGAGTATAATGTCGCTCAGCACGCACGACTCAATATTATTTATAAAATATAAAAAAATATTTGTTTTTTATTACCAAAACTACCTCAATAATCATATCTTAAAACTCCTTAACAAAATACTCGCTTTTTGAAGCATAAAACGAACGTTGGAGAAAAGGCTTACAAAAATTGATAAATTGAGTACAAATAATTTTATAATTACACTTTTTTAACTTCTACCGATGTAACTGTCGTAGAAAAAACTTTTTTGTAGCAGTTCAAGCTTTTTTTTATCATTATGATGCACTTCTTTGTTGTACTTCCTCAACCGACATTGATCACCGCCATAAACAGATGGTTGTAATTCAAAGATCAACAGAAAACAGCGAAGCCTTTGAAGACCGGAAAAAAAGCATACATTTATTTTTGAAAAAAATGCCAACCAGTCTTTTCTTCCTATCTTTTTTTAACTACAGCTCATTTCATTCTAACCACTAATCTTTTCAATACTGCTAATTGTCAATAAAAATATAAAGCTTTGCCGAAATACATAATTGAAATGCGACGCACCTGATCAACTGACTTTGATATTTTCATATAAAAAAAAAGTGGCTCCCAGGATTTTTTTTGTCTTTTAGAAGAAAGAAGAGGCAGAAAATTGGTAAAAGGAATTGCGGAACAGACGATCAAATAAAAGCTTCACACAGCGCTGGTGATCGGCTGCCACCCTCTCCATTAGCATCTGCTGACTCCTTCGTCGTGATACCAGAGGAAAATTTTGAAATGAAAACGACCAAAGAACAAAATAGACTAGCCGCTTGCTGGTTTACATCATTTTTGTTATTCAGGTATCCATCAATCCATCCAGCCGTCGACGGCACAGAGCAGTACTTCCAAAATAAACAAAACCCTCTGCAAAGTCATTTTTGCAAAATTCGAAAACAACGTTTAGCGGAAATATTGTGAACAACAATATGAACTGAGAGACGAATCAAAGAACAACTCATGTAAACAAGAAAGTGGCGAAAAATATCAATGGTTTGCATTCGGAAAATAAAATCGTTAAACAAACGCAAACAAAGTTTCACTCACTTATACATTTTTAAATTTAAAAATAGCATCTTTTTCTTCTTTGAAAAAGTAAATATCCCTACTGAAATTAAAAACACCAAATAGGTGCACATAAATTATCGAACCCGTTACAGCAAAACACATTAAAACTATAGTTTCAATGTCAAGAAGTCATGTAGTTTTTGGTAGAGTTCTATCTAAACAGTTGCCTAATGACGGCCTGTTTGGTGCTGCAATCAGCCCTCTAACAATCTGAAAATAAATCACCTAAATCTAAAAGAATGTACAAGTGCCGTAGAACTGCTTGACCAGCAGCATTAAGATTTTCCAGAATTTCCATGCAAAGCAGCTAACCAAATCCTGTTTATCCGACGTTTTATGGTAATGCCTCTGAACACAAGCGTTGACTGACCAATTAAAATGATCGGTTCCGTCTCGAGTAAAATGAGGCTGTGGAGCCTTAATTCGCCAAGATGTTGTTGACTCGCTACATCTTATTCTCTCTCAAGAAGGCGGTGAATCCATCTTAAAATAATTCCAAATTAGCCATGCCACTGAACAAACGGAAAGCTGGGGCGTTCTAACTTTGCCCTAGGTATTACCGACTTGCAAAAAAAAACCAGTTGCCCATAGGTTTTAATATTAAGTGTGACTTATCCTTTCGTTCTAATACCCTCTCCTCGCTTAAGATATTCAGCTTATCACCGTTACCAATTCTGTGGAATATTATCCTGGTGCCGCTTTCGGGGAAAACCACTGCGTTAAAAAAATAAGTCATTAGCGCTCAGCTTTTCCTGCTGAGCAAGCATCTGGTCACCTATGTCGGCGAATGAAATCCAATCTCCAACAAGTTCCCTAATCGACGTTCCATAGAAGTGGCTTCCTTTCACAACGACATAGAGGTGAAGCTTTTGACAGACTGTTAAGGTACAGTTTCCAGCCAAAGTCATCATGTGGACATTTGAACGCACCGTCTACAAATCTGCTTAAAGAAAACGCTACCAGGAAAACCAAGTTAACTTTAACCATCAATCTAATTTGTCTCGTCATATCGCTAAACAAATATCTAACGAGCATGCGGATATTCTCCAATTTTCAATATTCCCTGCGAAATTCCAAAGTCCTACAAAAACTTGAACCGCAGAAACTTGTAAACGTGCTTCAGTTTTGATAAAAACGACACCTACCGACTACTATGAAACAAAAAGAAGTCTCTACTGAATTCTACAAACCAGCAACGGCTGGTTGCACAGAAGAGATCAAGGAATCGAACCCATGTTTGGGAAATTAAGCGGAAAATATTCCTAACTCACTTTTTTATATACAAGTCAACTTTTTTATTACTTACCTAGTAGTAAGCCTCACTTCAACACCATAATTTTATGTGATTTCACAGGACGATACTTCGCTGCTTAGCACAGGTATCACATCCAAACTTGCTCATAAATGTCACGTGCATGACAAAAAAAACACCTACCGCAAGGCACTCCTTGCTGTTCACAACACTTCAAAATATTTATCCATTTCTATACTGTTAATACAAAAAAACTGTCATTAGTGCATTTTCATAAGATTGCTCAAGCTTTCTTTAGTAGGCACAATTTGGCAATTTTTACTAACGGCCCGTAATTTCAATACATGAAAAAATGAAAAGTGAGAAAAAGAAACTCGTAGCTTGCCTTTAAGCAGACCTACTTCATGAGCTTCTAGTCTCAAAAAATGCTTGCCAGACAAAATTTTGTGACTAGTTTGAGGACCTGTCGCAATCGACAGGATAAATGTTAATGGGAAAAAAGAAATTTCTGCTTGAAATTTCTGACGCAAAAACAGTGGTAAAAAACAGTTTTGGGAGGTAGGTACTTCTCTTATAACAAGACGTTAAGTAATTATAAACAAGAAAAAACAGTTGCAGTTACTTCCTCCTAATTTTATTCGCTAAACTGTTCTATACTTGAACAAGAAAAATTTCTGAAATTGCGACTTAATTTGTCAAGCAGTCCCCTGCTATAAATATCAAGCCTTCGCATTTGCTGATGTCTCCTCTTTTTTATCTGTACTGGCATTCTGCTGATTAAACAAGGAATCCTCTTCTTCAAGTTCAGACGAAAAATCCGACGGAGGATCGTAGAAATCGCATATTGGATGCAACACTGGGTCTCTTCCCTAAATAGCAAAGTTCCGTAATGATATCGAGAAAAAAAATTAAAAACTATTCTTATTTACACACCTGAAACCTCCGGTACAATTCACTTTGCAAATCTCCAGATCCTTTTAATAAAATTGTAGTCTTCAGCCGTTCTCCAGTAGTCGGAACGTCATCTTCATTGTTGAAAGTCTCGTGAATATCGAAAGCTAACATCTAGAAATCTTAGTCAAATCAGTACTCAGCGTAAATCTAGCGATAGCTACAACTGAACAAACAACAAGCAATATTAGCCCAAAGCACTAAGGTTCTAAGTTTCCTTACAATGTATCTAAGTGAAACACAATTTCAGACCTAATCATAAATGTTGACCTTCTTTAACATTATAACTAGCTTCTCATTGTTAACTTACTTCTCCCCAGAGCTTGCGATAATACGAGCACATATACTGGGCAGAATCAAATATTGGAGTGAAAGAGCAAGGATGGTAATCATTTCTTTCCCTACGGAATGGAAAATAGTCCTTATACATGTCTCGATACACATCTAACCAAAACTTCTTTCTAAAACAAATAACACCTACGATTAAATGAAATGCTTTTTTTCACTTCTAATAAAGCAGCGAAAATATTTGAAGCCAAACATCGAAAAAAAAGACGTATGTGCAACCAACGTTATATTTCAAAAAATTAGGCTATTTGAAACCTTCTATCTTCCATTTCGAAAATAGTAAGGTCATAGTCTGCCCAAAACAATGCTCGGTAAGATTCCCACAATGTAGCGCGTGCTAGACTTAAAGAAAAATTATTGGCCGAATCCTCCGTCAAAGCCTGGCCAGTTTTCTGCAGTATGAAGCAAAAATAAATAACAGCAGAAAAATGCGCATTACGAAGCAAAAACAACTTTTAAAGAACAAATTTCAAAACTTACTCGATGCGGAGATGCTATTACAGAGAGCAGGTTCGGTTTATAGACAAAAAATTCAGTGAAAAGTGGAAAAAAATCAGCAGCATCCCAATCAGCTGCATATGTCGGCTCCCAAGGTATAGTGATGTCACGGTAAGGAGATTCAGATAACAGTATTTGTACTGCGCGCCCTGTCTTAAACAAAATGACAGTAATAAGACAGTTACAAAAGCAATAATCGATAAAAAACCAACAAAACAAGCAAGATGAAAATCTGTTAAGAAAGCTATTGTACACTAAAAAGGAGTTGCTGAAGCTGTGAATAGTGTAACAGCGATGGGAGCTCGGCTTTAGGAGCATCTGCTTCAGCAATCAAATAAACAATCTTATCCCATCCCCGTTCTTCGTCAGCAGCTGAAAATATACAGAAAAAAAATAATAAATTACAAAAGCAACCCAAATTAAACCCGTAGAAACAAATCAAGTACAGGAGACCAGAATAAATTTAAAAAGGTGTTTACTTCTTCCTAAAAGCACTTTCCATCCTTTCCTTTTGTTTGGACGCTCGAAAGGATCAACGTAAAGACGTCCATAATATCGCCCTAAATATGACTGTTATTTCTGAGTGATGGAATAAACTGTTAGTTTATGAACAATGAAAGAAACCTGTGAATTGATCTTGTACTTCATAAATACGGACATCAGGATGGCATCTCTCTAGCTCTTTGTCAGAAATATTCTAAAAAATGTTGAACTGCTGTCGCAGCAAAACAAAACAGATTTAGCGCTTTCTTAAAGAACGTTCCTAAGAAACCTTAGAAGAAAAAACTAACTTTAAATGTCAGACCAAAAATGTATGACAACACTTCTGTGAGGTTTTCGAACGTTGACCAGAATGGAAAGTAATTCATCATGTCCAAACTGTCGATGCTAAATTTAGAAAATAGAAGTTAAAAACAGTTATACAGAAAACGCATTAATACAATTACAAAAAAATTAAGTTCATACTTCTGCATCCAGTGAACAAAATAAACTAAATGACATCTACGAAATTCCACACCTTCTACAATGATCAAGTTGCAGAACCTCCTCTCAAACCTCCCTTAACAAATGAGTAAATTAAATGTATCATCATCTTTTTAATAATCCCGCCGAACACCATCTCCTTCGTTCTCTGATGGAAAGCTAATGCACTCTCTCTACCCGTTTCCGAACGACTATTTTTGAACAAAATGGCACTTGCTTCAGTGACACTCTCATCTCATTCTACTTTACGTTTCAAAAGAATCTCAAGCTAAGTCTATAGCTAGAAGATAAAAAAATTACAAAGAACATCTTCCATATATTTCTGCTCTGTTACATACCTCCAAGAAAGCCTTCTTACCCATAAATGTCATAAACAATTTTAGTGCATTTTTGGCAAACCCCTTTGTACTATGCAGTTAAAGATACTTCATACCTCTAGCAAAATCTGAAGCTCAAACGATTTGTCAGGCTGTCCTTTAACCATTACAATATTCTGGATTACTGTACAGTTCTTCGCCCCTTTAAATAGTAGACTTTACCTTCACCCTATTAAGTCTTTTGTAATCCGTTATTGAATTTACCACACTCTACTGTGAGTACCACTAATATGTCTCAGCGCAAAAGAATTCAAAGAGTTTCTACCCTCTATTAACTTTTGATCCGAATTCTAGTTTCAAGATCACTGGGAATCTACCTTACCGACGAGTGTGAAAAAAGAAGAATCTATCTTTCTGTTATTCTACTCCCTGACAAGCTTTGCACTTTCTTTTCGACGTCAATACCGTTTTCACCTCACCTAGTTTTGAGACTACACCTAGAATGCATCTAGAAGAACTAAAAAAAAAAGAAAAACAACACTGTTTTAAATAAGGCTTACTTATAATACGCAAGTGCTTCTTTACGACAAATGTAGAATAAATCAGACGGCATTAAATCACTTTTTATCCCCTCTCTTTCGTTTGCATATGTTGTCCAAGCCTCCATGCGATCTACAAAAACTGGGCGAATTCGCTTTTTCAACCTGCAAATTGAGTTCCAAGTTCTTCAGCTCTTGAACAATTCCAGTAATACTTCAAGCCAATAAAATTGAGTACGAAAGGAAGTGGACATGTCATCTTATTGCTACAGCCAAGACTGACTTATCTTCAAAAATAAATTTAAAAAAAATAATTTTCAATAATGGCCCAAAAACTAATGGTATTGGACTTACGCATTTAAAAATATCCTCACAATCTCTGGAGAACCGGCCATTTTATTTTCTAAACGATGTTCAGCAACTGAAGGATAACCAAGCGCCTTTGCAAGGCCCTCTCTGCAATATAAATTACAACCCACTGCGGTTTCGAAGAGCAATTTTTTAGGTTAATGAAAACTGACAAAAAAAATCGTGAAAATTCTAACTTTTAGCAATAAGCAATTGTTCAGAATAATAATATAAATTTGCAAATGTTCCTACCTCTTTCATTCTCTATAAATATTCAGATTACTTACTGGTTATGCCGTATTTCCTCAATGTTAATAGAGTTATTGTAAAAATCATGCTCGAAACTAGCTCGTGATGTCCACTTGGACCACGCAAGTTGGCGCACCTCCCTATCAGAACAGTACTGTAAAAGAGGCATTATTGTTTTTGGTGACATATTTGCTCGCCAAGGCCCGTTTTCCACATCATGCCTTAAAAAACAATTATCATTCAAAAAAAAAAAAAAAAAA